CAGGCATGAACTCAAGGCAGATTTGCAGAGGCAAAACCAAACCATCCACCAAACTGTGCTTCCAACCACACTGAACCATCCACACAGCAGGAGGTGACCAGGGACAGCAGCACCAGAGCAGGCCAGAGGGGAACGTGGCCAATCTGATCCCAAACCCAGTCCCCATTCCAGCAGGCACCAAACCCAGGGAGCTCAGCACGAGCTCAGCAAATGTATGCCAGGGTCAGCCCAGGGCACCACGGGTGGCAGCAGCCACCAGGAGCCACTGGAGTCACTCACAGGGCCAGGAGAGCACTGCTCCCAGCCCTGCCACCAGCCAGGTGACAATCAGAGCCTGGGGATGGAGCCCATCTCAGAAGTGACCCAGAAATGACAGGGTCACCTCAGCCCGTGGGCAGGTCCCACCCATCACCCCCAGTGTCCCCACTGAAACCTCACAGGGCTGGCACAGGGCAGGGCCAGGAACCCCAGCCCTCTCCAGCTCCCACCTCTCAGGGCTGCCAGGGTGGGGATGGGAAAGCACATCCTGCTTGGAAAGTCAGAAAACACCTTTTCCTTTTTCATTCCTTGCCACCACTTCCAGGGTCACAGCTGACACAGATCCTCCCATGCCCAGGCCAGCACACTGCCAGCATCACTGAGGGGAGGTGATGCATCCTCATCCTCCCTGCACCCAGGATGTCCCAGCTCAGGCCATGGAGGGTGCTCTGGTACAAGTGACACCATTCCAGGACACTGCTCCAGGACAAGGACATCCAGGCAGACCCACACATCCCAAGGCAAGCCCACAGCCTGGGAGCATTAGCCCAGTCCCTTCCATGCCATAACCATGGATGGTGGGAACCAGGGACACCAAGGCAGCCACTGGAAAACCTCCTGACCTCAAAAATCCTTTTATGCACATAATCACAGGCTGTCACCCACGTGCAGCACAGGCTGTCATCTCAGACCATCTACACACTCCACCTGCTTGCAGGCCTTGGGAAAAGACAAGCAGGGATGAAATCACTCTGAAGATGTAAGGGACCAGCACTCCAGCACCCCAAAAGGAGAGACTGTGGGGTGGGCACATCACCAGCACTGAGATGGTGACAGACCCCAAAGCTTTTTGGCTGTGGATGTCAGGTGCCTGAGGGCCCAAAGCCAGGGTAAATGTGTCCTTTGGACTTTCCCAAAGGCAAAGGGACCCACAGGTCACCCTCAGCCACTCCTGGGGTCACTGCTCTGCTGCCTGCTGTCCCTGGAGCTCTCCTGGGGTTCCAGCCCCATGGGTGTCCCAAGGGATACAGGGCATGGGTGGGGATGCAGGCTGCTCCTCACCCACATGTCCTGATGCTCCCCAGGATGGCAAGTGCAGCCTCCCCACTGGGACATGTCCCTCTGCTGAAGGCAAAGGCAGCTGAGAGCTGATCCCCAGGGCAGAGCCACTGCTGGGCAGCAGCAATTTCCCCACATTTCCTCCACTCCAGCCTGGGATTTCCCACTGGCCACCTTTGGAGGTGGCTCCCCCTCCAGCCACCCCTTTGCCCAAACGTTTCTGCCCTCCTGCCCCTCCCACACCACTGCTCCCTGCACCAAATCCCAGAGTGGTTTGGGTTGGAAATGACCAAAGCTCCTCTCCTTTCAACCCCCTGCCATAGCAGGGACACCTTCCACTATCCCAGGCTGCTCCAAGCCCTGCCCAGCCTGGCCTTGGGCACTGCCAGGGATCCAGGGGCAGCCACAGCTGTTCTGGGCACCCTGGGCCAGGGCCTGCCCACCCTCAGTGTAAAACATTTCTTCCCCATGTACAAGTTAACGCCGACCTGTTACAGTTCAAAACTCTCACCCCTTGTGCTCTCACTCCAGGCCCTTGTCCAAAGTCCCTCTCCAGCTCTCTTGAAACTCTTTGAGCACTGCAAGGAGCTTCAAGGTCTCCCTGTGGCCTTCTCTACTCCAGGCTGAACATGCCCAGGCTGTCTCCAGAGCAGAGGGGCTCCAGCCCTTGGAGCATCTCCGTGGCCTCCTCTGGACCTGCTCCAACAGGCCCCACATCTGTCTGTGCTGGGGATGCCACAGCTGGACGTGGTGCCCCAAGGGGCTCTCCCCAGAGCACCCCCTGCTCACCCTGCTGCCCGTGGTGCAGCCCAGGACACACTCACCTTTCTGGGCTGCCAGTGCACGGCGCTGGCTCATGTCCCATCTGTCACCCACCAGCACCCCCAGGCATTTTCTGCAGGGCTGCTCCCAGCCCATCATTCCCCCAGCTGTGCTGGGGCTGGGGCTGTCCCCACACAGCTGCAAGATCCTGCACTGGGCATGGCTGAACCTGCCACCTTCCTCTTCCCCCATCACCTGCCTGGCAGGAAAAGAGCCAATGCCACACACCACCCACTGCCAGCATCTCCATCCCTTCCCCAGCCACCACAGCCCATCCCTTCTCATGTCCCCAGCTGGGTGGAGGGCCAGCCTCTACCTGGGGCAGTGACTCCCGTCCTGCTCCCCATCCTGGAGGAGTTTCAAGAGCACCAATCACTTTGGGGACACCCATGCTCCATGCCTGGGCTCTGTGCAGGGAGGTGGCTGCAAGGGGCAGCAGTGACAACTGGGAGTCCCACAAGACCCCCCTTGCTCCCAGGAGCCACAGCTGAGTCAGGGGAAAAGGAAGGGGAAAGGAGCAGGAAAAAAAGAAACAAGCCTTTTGAGTGCAATATTTTAGTTGAGCACCAGAGCATGAGTAAAGGAGGGAGCTTTTCGTGGTCTGGTGAGTTTAAGCTATGAGCTGAAAGTTTAACTATTAATACACTTAATCAAGAGGTTGTTCCTACAGCCAGGATTTGGGAAAACAAAACAGGGAGGCAGGAGAACGGTGGCATCATCGCTGTGGCCACCCCAGGGAATGTCCCTGCTGGGGGAGGTGGAGGGTCCAGGACCAGCTGGGGATGATCCAACCTCGGCCAAGCCTTGCATGGGCACACCAGGAGGTGCCAGGTGCTGGCTGCCAGGGCCAACACCCTGGATCCAGCCATCCCCCCAGTCCCCACACAGGAGATCGGTCAGAGGGGACAGTTTTGGGGAGAGAATGTCACCCCCAAACCCTGCAGCATCCCCAGGGCACAGACAAGCAGCACCTGCACTGCTGCCACCTGCCTGGAAAGGTCCTGGTGACACCGGGGGATGCCGGTGGGTGAGGGACCCCCAGGGTCGGGGATCCCCAAAACACTCCCCACACCTCCACAGCGTCTGCTCTGGCACAAAGCTCTGCCCCAGAGGAGGGAGAGGAGGGACAGGCTGAATTTCGGGGTGTAGCAGGCAGAGCTCTGTGTCAGGGGCAGGAGCAGAGGCAGGAGCGGGCGGTGCGGGCAGTGCCTGGCAGCGCGGCGCCGGCTGCCCGCATCCCCACCACAAAATCCATGTCAAGGACGCCTCGGCCGGCTCCTGCCTCTTCCCACCGAGGCGGGGGGAGGACACGGGGACATTGGTGACGCCCGGCACAACCCCCCCCACCCCCTGCCTGCCCATCCCGCCCCGCACGCAGCCCCCCCCGGCCCTGCCCCCGGGGCCACCGAGCCCCGAACGGCGCCGGGACCAACTTTGAGCGGCACCGGCGGCTCCTTTGTTACTTTGCTTTTGTTGTCACACGCCGGCGCGTCCCCGTCCCCATCGTCCCGTCACCGTGTCCCCCCCTCCACGTCCCTCCCACAGCCCCCCCCAGGCGGCGTCCCCGAGGTCAGGGCGCGACATCTGCCAGCGCGACGGGGCGACGCCGGTACCGGCACCGGGGAGGGGGCGCAGCGCCGAGGGCATCTCCGGGGGCATCTCCGGGGTACCCGCGCGGGGACACTCGGGGTGACGCCGCCACCGACGGCGATGCGCTGCGGCGGCCCCGCGGGGGCCGCTGGAGGAGCCGTTTCCCCAAAGCTGCTCCCGCTGGGAACGCGAAGGACGGACGGACAGACAGACGGAGGGACGGAGCGAGGTTTCCATGCCTACCAGGGCTCCCGCTGAGCGGGACCTCGGGGAGAGTCACCCCCCCCCCCCCCTTTTCCCATCCGACCCCCCTGGCCTCGGCCCCGCCGGGGGATGCAGCGCAGCCCGCGGGCAGCAGCGGGGCCGGGGAACGCGGGGGGCCGGGCCGGGCGGGGAGGCCGGAGGGGTCCCGGTCCCCCCGCAGCCCCAGGTGCGGCCCCGCCGCCGGGCTGGGGGCCGGGGGGCGCGGACAAAGCGGCACAAAGGGGCCGCTGACACAGCAGGGCCCGTTTCCAGAGAAACAAAACTTCCGCCGGCCCCGGCTCCGCGCCCCAGGTAGCCGGGATGGGCATCCCCCCCCCGGCCCCCCCAAAGCCGGCCTCACCCGCCCTCCCACAGCACGGCATCCCTCATCATTCCGCCGGCCCCCCCGGCACGGAGCGGCGGGGGGTGAAGGTTGCCCGGCCGGGTCAGCGCACACGCGGGGCCGTTACCGCAGGATGTGTGCGCAGCTTTGTTTGTGCGTGGGATGGCCCCCCCCGCCATGCCCATCCCACCCCCTAACCCCCCATGCCACCCCCCCCATCCTCCTCTCCCCAATCAATCATCCCAGCAAAGAATAACCCGACCCGAAGCAGCTCCGGCCCCGCAGGAAGGACGCTGCCGGCTGCGGGATGCGGTGGAAAATAAAAAAAAAAAAAAAAAATTAGGAATAATAAAATTAAAATAAAAGGAAAAAAACCAACAAAAACAACAAAACGCCCCACACCTCCGTGGGGCGCACGGGGCCGCGGTTCGGCGGAGTTTGAGGCCGTAATTCCCAAATTCGGGTACAATCCACAGCCCCCACGGTGGTTTTGGGGCCGGTGGCACCGAACGAGGGATGTTCCACGGCGCGATCGCGGCGGCTCGATGGGTGTCGGGGCGCGGGGGGCACCCTCCCCGCCGGGGCTGGGGCAGCAGGGGGTTTGGGAATCCCGTCTGACGGCGGAGCGGGGCGGGGGGGGTTCGCCGGGAACGGGGGGATGATAAAGTTGGGTGAGTTGTCGCACATGGCTGGGCGATGGCGAGCGGCGCCGCTCCCACGGCCACCCCGCGCCCGGGCACCGGCGGCGGAGCCGAACTGCAGCGGGAGCCCGGCGCACCCCGGCGAGGCGGCGGCGACCCACGCGCGGTCAGCGGCGCAGGGCGGGGGTTCCCCCGCGCCCCCCACGCGAGCCCCGCCGCGGGTGGCACCGCCGGCCCCGCTGCCCACCGCCTCCCGCGGCGCCGCCGCCCCCGCCGCCCCCCGGCCCCGCCGCCACCATTGTCACCCGGGAAACCACCGGGCGCTGCCGCGGCGGTCCGGGGCGGCGGGGGGAGCCGTGGGGGGGGGCTCACTCCATCCCTCCCCGCGGCTCCCGGCGCATCCCCGCCGGGCTGCGGGTACCGACAGCGGGGTTCGGTCGCACCGAGAAAAACTTTGCTCGTTACCCCGACGTTCCCCCCCCTCCCCTTCCCCTCCCATCCCCGGGAAGCGGCGGGGCCGCTCGGGCGCCGCGCAGGCAGCACCGGCCGGGCCCGACGCGGGCAGGCGGGCAGGCGGCCAGCTCCGGCCCCGCCGCCGCCGCGGGCAGCCCGGGCACGGCGCCGGGCAGCGGGGCGAGCCGCGGATCCCCCCGCCAAACTTTTTCTCCTCCGCCACCTCCCCTTTCTCCAAGAGCCCCCCGACACCCCCCACCCCAACTCCGCCGCCGGAGCGCCCCGGGGGCCGGCAGCGAGCGGCGGTCCGGGAGCCGCCGCGCTGCGGGCAGCGCTGCCGGGAGCGGCGGGGGCTGCCCGGGAGCCGGGAAAGGGGCAGGAGGGGAAGGGAGCGGGGGTAGGGAGGGGAGGTCAGCACCTGCCCGGGGCCGGGGCCGGGGCCGGGAAGCCGAGGCGGGCTCGGTGCCTCGCCGCCGCCGCACACCCACCTCCACATCGCCGCTCGCTCTGGGAGTGCGCAGCCCCCGCTCCGCGCTGCACGGCGCTGCCGCCGCCGCCGCCGCTGCCCGCGGCTGCCGGCAAAACCCGGACCGGACCGGGCCGAGCGCCCCGCGCCGCCGGACACCGCGACACGCCGCGACACGACACGACACGCCGCGCGCGCCCCCCGCCGCCCCGCGCGCGCGCCGCCCGCAAGCCCCGGCTCGCCCGACCCCCAGCGCCGAGCGGCGACACCCAGCCCCGGGGCACCGCCACCCCCGCCGCGCCACCGAGCTGCGACAGCCCACCCCGCGCGTGGGGACACGGCGCGACCCCCACGGGGTTTAGCCCGCTGTGACCCCCGTGTCTCATCTCTACCCCTCCGCGCCCGTGTCCCAGCTGCCCCCATGGGTGTCACCGTGGTGTGCCCCTCGTATCCCTGATGTCCCCTCATGGGTGTCACGGTGCTGTGCCGTCCGTGGGCTGTACCCCTCACACGGGTGTTGCTGTGGTGTGTCACCCTCCGTGTCCCAGCTGCCTTCCCCTCGCCCCCCACCCGAGTGTCACCGTGGTGTCCCAACCTCTCATGTCACACACGGATGGGATTGCAGTGTGTCCCCCGTGTCCCATCCACCCCCACGGCTGCCATCCTGTTCGTACCCCCTCCGTGTCCCACCTGTGCCCCACAGGTTTCACCCCACTGTGCACCCTGAGTGCAGGCCGCACCCATGGGTGCCAGCATGATGTCCCCTCAGCCACGTCCCCTCCACCTCAGAGTGCCCCCCCAGCCCCCTGCGATCCCCTGGGATGTCACCATTGTGTCTCTGGGGTGTCACCATCCTGTCTCTGGGGTGTCACCATCGTGTCTCTGGGGTGTCACCATCCTGTCTCTGGGGTGTCACCCAACTGCGCCTCCTCCCTCCCCGCTGTTCCCTGAGGGGTGACACCCCCATGTGCACCCACATCCCCAGAACGTTCCTCATCCGTCTGTCCCTCTGTGGGGTGCACACCCCTCTGTCCATTCCCCCCCTGCATGTGCTCCCCCTGTCCCCAGCGTGGGGTGTCCCCATCCCTCTGCATCCCCTCTGGGGTGCCAGTCTCTCTGTTCTCCCTTCCCTGGGGTACCCACAGAGCGTTCCCATCTCTCTGTCCCCCCGTGGGGTGCAGGGGCAGAAGGTCCCAGAAGCAGGAGTCGCCCCGCGGTATCCGGGGTGCAGCGGAGGGGACCTGGGGGTGCAGAGCTCCCCAATCGCTCCGCACAGCCAGGATCGCTCTGGGGAGGAGCCCCAAGCCCGGAGCCCCCGGCTTGCTGCCGCCACCGGGAGGGACCTCACGGTCTCGCAGCGGGACATCGCTGAAATCCCCCTGAATAAACAGCAAATAATCGATGGTCCGATAAGTCAGCTGGAGGGAGGGGACAAATCCCGAGGTTTGGCCCCGCGGCGGTGTAGGGGGGATAACACTCTTGGCCCAGAAGTTTCCTGCTCAACTTTTTGCCAGAATTTTTTGCGGCTGAGGGGGAGAGTTGTTGTTGGGTTTGGGTTTTTTTTTTTTTCCCCTTGGAGTTGTGGGCACTGAAATATTGGAAGTTAAAAAAAAAAAAAATCCTTAAATCCCCGCTCCTCAGCCGAGAGCAGCTTTCCAGGGACAAACAGCCCAAAAAAAAACCCACCACCCCCAATTCCTGCAGCCTTTTCAGTTGCCAGCAAAATACCCAAACCATCTCAAAAGCAGAAACCCTGACAAAAATGAAACTGGGTTTGTGTTGCCGTTGATTTTTTTTTTTTTCACAGGAATGCGAAATCTCTTCCCACCCCGCTCCCGCCTCGAAATGAAACAAAAAAATCTGCGATGGGGCGGGGGGTGGGGGGCGAGCGGCGCGGATGCTGTTTGTATTTGATCCACGTCTCGTTAATTATGCGCCTCTCGCAGATTTAGCCACTGGGATTTGCAACCGCGGGTGCTGTGACGATGCTCCAGCTTCCCAAAAAATCTCCCTCCGGGTGGTAGCGATGGGGGAGCGCGGTCCCATCCTCCTGGGCACCCTTTCAGCTCCTCTGCTGGCCCTCTCAATGTGTTCCCAACCTGCCTCCCTCCACAGTTCAGCCTCTCAGCCCCCCCAAAACAGGAGCAGGGGAGCCTCGTGCCCGGCACATGGGATGAGGGTGGCACTGGTGACACAGGAGAAGGGACAGAGTCCCACCAGCAGCACTCCAGGTGACACTGCCCAGCGTACAGCACCATCTCACCCACGTGGGCTTCACCAAGGGCATTTTCTTTGCCCCTTTTTGGCTATTTTTAAGGACCTGACACAACCCCCTGATGCCAGCATGAAGCACAGCATGTTGATGTCCCCTTTGCCAAGGCAGGGCCTGTGGCAGTGGCACCTGGAGTTTGCCACCCACTGAAGGCCTCCAAATGCTGCAGCATTTCACTTCTCAGAGTGTTTGGAAAACTTGTGGGCAAATCACCTTTACTGAGGTCTGGGATCCTCAAGGAGAAGGGAAACTGAGTCACAAACCCAAGCTGGGACTTGGTGACAGTGACAGCAGCAAAGCTGTGGCTTCAGCCCAGTGTCCCCAGCCAAGCTCCAGGCTCCCCAGCATTCCCACTGCCCAGTCCCCAGCCCTCCAGGCACAGGGAGCCCCCCAAATGCAGAGGAGGGTCCCCAGTGCTCCCAGACAGGCAGATCCCCCCAGCACGGGGACAAGGGACATCGTCCCTGAGCCTCCACTCTGCTCCTGGAGCCTTTCCAGTGGCATGCGGGTTCTGGGGGTAACAGGAGGATGAGGATGGAGGGCCGAGGGGACAGAGATAAAGGGCAAGGGGGACGGTGCTGGAGAGTGAGTGGGCCAGAGATGGATGACAATGAGGATGAGGATGAAGAGCAAAGGGACAGGAAGGGAGGGTGACAGGACAGGATGGAGAATGATCAGGCCAGGGTTGGGAGGCAAGTGGGACACAGTTGAAGGGCAAGCAGAATAGGAGCAGGGATGAAGAGCAAAGGGGACAGGGGTGAAGGGACAGAGAGACAGGAGAATGATGGTGCCAGGGATGGAGGACACAGGATGCAGGGAAAGATGGGGACAGATGGCAAGGGGACAGGGCAGTGACTGATCAGCAAACAGCAGCACTGCCCTGCTCACTGCCTGCCAGAGCCAGGGCCAGAATCTCCCCCACCAGTGCTGGGCTTTGGGCTCTGGCAGTGGGGTCTGCACTGCTCCTCCCCAGTGGGGAACAAATCCAGGAGCTCTGCCCAGCTCCAGGAGAAGAGCCAGGAATAACTGGGGTGGGGCATGGAGGTGTTACTGAGCCTGCAGCAGTGAGGGGGGGTCATGCAGGTCCATGTCCCCCTCCCCAGGGTGGCAGTGGGACACCGTGAGACAGTGGCTGGAGGGCTGCCAAGGCTGTGTGACCGGGAGACACGTCCCAACAGCCTCCAGAGCACAAACACACCTCCAAAATTCCCACCCCAAATTCCCCCAGCCCAGCCACTGCCATCCAAGTGGGTTACAGAGCTGGCACTGCCTTGTCACCTCCTCCGTGCAGGGTGCGGGGTGGCTCCTGTTGGAGGGGAAGCTGTGTCAGTGGCCCCAGACCTTGGTGACATCGCTGATTTTTGGGATGGGGGACCCCAGCTCCTCCCAGTGCTATGCTGGGATTCACCCCCCCACTCTGGCAAGCTGGGGGCAGACTGGCACAAACCCCTTGGCTCTAGGGGTGCTGGCAGGCAGGGCTGGAGCAGCGGTGGTGTTCGGGTGAGCCCTCCTGGAGCGTGGCTCGGGGTGACCCTCAGCTGGCTGCTGCAGTGCCACAGAACTCTGTCCGTGCCCAGCCGAGCCCAGGGGACACCGCAGTCCCTCGTTCCCTTGCTGGTTACCCAGGGCCTGAGTGCCAGCACGGCCGGGGGTCCCGCGGGCAGCCCGAACCCTCGGCCGGCCCCCGCCGCCCCTCAGCTGAGCTCTGCAGGGTTAATTTTTAACCCCAGCTGTCTCCCACACGGCGGCTGGGAGCGCTGGCCCCGCTCACCGGGGACATGCCACAGCCACGGGGGACCGGCCACCCCTCGCTGGAGCCCGGGGGGGTGACACAGGGGGTCACTGGGTGGTCCCTGTCCCTCGTGGGAGCCCAGCGTGGCTTCCCGGGCTGCTCCAGGCGGGGGAGGCGGGTGCGGGGCAGGCGAGAGGCACCGGCCTTTGTGCCCGGGGGGGTCCGCGGTGTCCCCCCGGCTCCTGTGCAAACGGCAGCGGCTCTGCCCGGGAATGTCCTGGCAGGAGGGACCCGGGCCTCAAAGCAAACAGACGCCGCGCCGGCGGCCGGGAGAGGGGCAGGAAGCCGCCCTCGCTCTGCCCTCTCCCAGCCCGGCACGGCGGAGCAAGGGGGGAGCGTGTGTGCGAGCCCCGGGGCTGGCAAGCATCCCCCAGCCTGCAGGAAGGAAGCACAGCCAGACCCCCACCCAAACCGGCCCTCCTGGGGGCTGAGGAGCCGCTCGCGTCGTGCCAAGGGACAGCGGGGCCATGCGGGTGTCCCAGCCCTTGGCAGGGGGAGGGAGACGGGCACAGGGGGTCTGTGCCGCAGGGGAGGGTGGGCTGCAGCCAGAGTCCCGCCTACGTGCCAGGCAGCAGGAGAACCACGAGGACACTCGAGCTGCAGCGTTTCCACCTCCGGGGACCCTGGCAGGCGTTGGGAAATTTTTTTTTTTTTTTTTTGAGCCGGGGATTCGCCTGGAATTCAGACGCCCACGTGGTCCAAAATAGCCTGGCTCCAACATCCGGAGCGCCCTGCAAAAGCCATCTGCCTGCGCAGGCAGGGCGGGCAGCCGCGGGGCTGGGGCACCCGGCACACTCCCATCCCATCCCACCCTGTCCCAGCCCTTCCCGTGGCTGCTGGGGGTCACAGAAGCCTTGCCCAAGCCGTACCG